AACCGTTTTTATATTGTCTTCATCTACTCAATTGTGTTTTTATTTTTAAGAATGAATCCCTTTATATTACATAGGTATGTTTGTGATTCAATGTGAGCCAATCGCTCACTGAATTTCACACTCACAAATCTGTTTATACTAGGTCCATAATGTATTTTTCTCTTCGTTGTAAATTTGGTTTAGACTCCAACTCACTTAACCTAATTTATCGTAGAAAAAAAATATTTTTTCAAACTTTCATTTATTCAAGTTAAAAATCAATTACCAAGTAAAAGTCAAAAGTTGATCCTGAGATTTGCTAACGTAATTGAACACAAATTATATGAAAGTAATGTAATAAGATCATTATTATTGTATGAATTATGTTTTAAAATCTATTAGTTTTATTTTATTTTTAATATACCTGTAAGTAATTTCATTCAATCATTAAAGACAAAATGTATTTTGGTAATGATTGTTATTTTTTACAATACGATTTATATTGCCTATATAATTTTATCAGCATATTAATAGTACACAATAATAAAAGTTTTTTGATTTCTGTAAAACGTCAATGTAGTTTCAAAACAATGTTTAACATTTTTAATTTATTTTTAATTTACAATTATAGAAACACAATCCAAAATAAATGTGTTTAAAACAAAATTCTAAAAATGGTGATGATAATAGTAATTGGTATAAATGCATTATGACCGATATAAATATATAATTATATGAATTACATACCGAGGCTGTATTATATTATTAGATAGGTAGGATATTTTATCAAGACGTTCAATTTTATGATCGAATTTTATGGGTGGTATTTTGTACCTGTAAATCGGTATTGGCTGTAAACTATTTAAAAATAGCATAATTACATTATCATGTATAAATCTAATTTTTTTTTGTGGATTGGTGTGGCGCGTTAGCTGCTGCAAGTCACGGAATGCGACTGGGAGTAAATAACGAGCACTAGACACTAGTTCCCGGATGGGTGACCACCCGGGCTCGTAGTGGTTAAAAACCTTGCCACACATACACGTGTTTGCTATCAACCGTAACATCCATAACAATCGTAAAAACAACCTACCTTTACCAACTTTACCTCTACTTAAGTTCAATAAAAAAAAAAAAATATAATTTTTTAATAAACTTAATAAGTCTGAGGACAGTTGTGCTTGATAATAATGAAGACATTTTTGTTGCCCTGTTTCCAAATTAAATTTAGATGGCCAAATACATGCGGCAATCGATATCGTATAGTAGATGGCGAAGTACGTACACAATCCTAGCAAATTTCTTGATTTTCATAATCCATCCGGACTGCTTCTACCTCACGTAATGCATTTAATAATAATTGCTATTGCTATTATTTTGTTGCTGCGATTCATAACACCACCAAAACTATAGAACAGCACGCTCGATTATACGTAGAGCTATTTCTTAACCTGACCTGGGTGAATAAGCCACTGTAGAAATATTTAAAAATATTATCGCTTTTTCTTGAACGGATATCATGTTTGCGATCCCAATGTGTTGTGTACGGTTTGAGACGTAGGGTGAGTTTATATTAACATCTTTAGTACAGTATTTTGGAATGATTAAATTGTATTGATACTAGATTTTTTGCGTTACCCCATAACTGAAGCCAGACGGGTCTGTCTAACAATGGATTTATAAATGAGAAGTTTAGCGTTTATGTGCAGTATATGTATTTATTTTTAACGCACAATTCTTTAAATGGTCGTAGGTAATAATTTAAATTTAGTCTTTTAGATTACTTACCACGTAAGTTTTTAACCCAATATTACTAATATTAGTCCTAGATAGGAGAAAGTTTGAATGTAAGTATAGTGTATACGAATTTAGATTGATTTATTTTGAACTATCGTTTAGTGTACTTATCTCCCATAAAGGTAAATAATTTTGAAGATTAAGTGAATCTACAACCGGGTCATCAGGGCTAATAGAGATTATGATTATCAGTATAATCAGCATGTAAGCAATCAAAATGCGTGGAGTGAAAGGTCGATCGGTAGCATAAATTGTATAAAGAACAGGGGAAAGTATATCCCTTTGGGAGACACCAGTAGAAATATTTGCTATAGTTAAGAGTACATTACCGAATCTAATTTTAAAATGGTGATTTGACAGATAAGATTTAATTATTAAAAAATATCCAAGTTTTATTTTAATTTAAAAAGTAGGTCATCATTCCAAATCCTATCAAATAAATACTTGTGAAACATCTAAAAAGGCGCATATACAATTTTTTTTTTCAAGTGAGTAGAATATTTATTATAAAAGTGGAGGGTTTTGATAACTCGCTGTACTTTTCATTAATTATTAGAGAGGCTGTTGCTTCTGACTGCATTCCGGCGGGAGTTGAAATCCATTATATGTATATATGATTTTAATCGGTGTGACTATCTTACTAATATCATTATAATTTCAAATAGTTATTTTAATTAGGTATTTATTTAATAATTTTATCTATTAGTTTCTATAACGATTATGGTGGCAAAACTTCTGACGACAGCGTATCGTTCATGGATATAATATTTCATAAGATGTTATCTTAAATAAATAATTTCAAGGCTGCCAAGGCAATCACTAATATGAAACAATATGTACTGTACACACACCTCATGATTGATGGAAATTCATATTTTTTTGTTTTATACTTAAGAAAGTGAGTTGAGATAAATATTCAAAATATAATACAAGTGAAGGTTTATTAAAATATTACTCACTTTTTAGTAAATAAAATTCGCTAAAATTTAAGACAAGTAATCAAACAAATAAGGAGCATAACGTACGTAAGCGCGTGCGTACCGTATAACCGCTATCATTAAACTAAATTAAAATTAAATTAGGTAAAACTTCAAAACTTTTTCATTACAAAAGGTCTAAATCTAAAGCAAATATATTTTTGACTGACTAGAACAACTTAAATACATAGGAAAAATTTAAAAAAAAAAGTTACAAGGAAAAAAATGTTAAAAAACATAATTACGTGTATATATTATAGTTAAATAACTAAGGGAAAATAATAAATATTTTTTAATTTTACTTGAAACCCAATAAAAATAAATAATTATTGTTTTCTTTGATTTTAAATTTAATTTATCATAATATATTTATTTATTACTAATAGGTACTCACTAATAAATTATTGTAAGCAACTTTTGTACTATGCCTAATAATTATTGTCAAAACTAATAACTGTAAACACAAAGTTTAAATAAAAAATAAAATAAATAAATATAATATGTTTGAAAATAATTAAAAAAATTAGGCAAGTTGATACTGATCTGTTGTACATTAAAAATGAAGTAGGTCACGGTAATAAATGTGTAAAATTTTAATTCGGTAATGTAATATTGAATAATAAAAACGAATCTGAGCGGAGACTGTCAGTCAGTAAGATAAACTAAGTTAAGTTAATATATTTTACTTTTAGTATTACGGTAGCTTAATTTAATTTTTTCCAAAAATATTTAATTTATTATATTATTAGTATTTAATTATTATAATAAGTATATATTTACCATAATATATAAACTTATGTAAGTTAAAACTCAAAATCCAATAACATCGTTCTCCAAGTAGATACTCTGCACTTGTACTGTAAATAATTACCTTTAGACCTTTTTAGATATTATAGTTTCAGACGTTTCAATATGAATAACTTAAGAGAAATCTTTTATTACATTTTCAAAACTTAGACATAGAACAAAAAGTTTTTATGAATTTCTAACTACAAAATAAATTATGATTTTTTTATGATTTTGACAAATTTTATCAAGATTATAACTTCAAATATATATAAAAAAAAATTCTGCTTATGTATTTTTAATATTTTTATACAGATATGAGGATAACAAATTTTGTAGGATCTTGTATTCAAGAATTTTTAACTAGCTAATAATTTTTTTTCGACACTCAAAGAAAAAAAAAATGAAAATTTCTCTTGCTTTTAAATAGCTTAAAAAGAGTTAGAATTATATTATCTTATAATGAAAATAATATTATAAACATTTTATGAACATTTCAAATATCTATTTTACCTATTATTATTATTTTTTTTTTTTAATACAATAAAATATCAAAAATTATTTGACTTCAGACTTTTTTTCATTTATAGATAGAAAGACTTTATAAAAAATGTTGTATTAAATTTTCAAAAATGTCTACCAAGCAAATAATTTTAATCAGCATTTCTATAGAAAAAATTTTTAATTTATCAAGTCTAAAAATTTCTCAAAAATAGTAAAACTATTTTTAAATATAAAATGATAATACAAACCCTTGATGAAAATTTTAAATATCTTAAGTTTTTTTTTTTGAGTGTAATGCCAAAAAAACTAAATCGATTTTGTCAAATACTCGATTTGCATAAAACTTCCTATTTTTCCTTCATTTTTTTGATTATTAAAAAGACGTAATGGAATTTTTAATTTTAACCTGTTGATAATACAAACTGCATTCAATTTTCTACCCAAAACCACCCTCCAAGTTGAAAAATTTTTTAATTTTCAACTACTTATTGTAACACATATACAAAAAAATACACACATCTTTGTAAAATTAATACATTCATCGCTCTGCTCAAAATCTTAAAATATATTATCAGAAGCATATTTACCACACTAAAGTAACGAAATTATAATTAAATTACACATTGATCAATTCTCAATTTAGCATAGTGGTTTATCCATCTTTTTTACATATAATTCCTGCTCTCATTACAGAGTATATGTGTTGACTAACTAGAGGTTGTTATAGATTAATTCAAATCTCCAGACATAAATTTAGTAAATAAAATATTGAATACTTCGAACATAAATATTTATTAATTTTATCGATAACTTTGAACTACTAAATATTTTCATCAAATTATTTCCAATAACTAAAGAATTCATCATATTATTACCTAATCTATATTAATATATTATGTAATTTAATAACACTTGTTCTTTATTTTTTAAATACACTTAAATATATTTTATTTTTAGATTGAAACTCTGTGTTCGACGTACAACCCAAACGTGTTTATAGTTATGTATTCAGTTGTCGACGAGAGGAGTTTCGATATAGCTGAACAGATGTTACTGTTTCTATGGAAAGGCGAGTACATTCACACAAGAGGTGTAATATTGGTTGGAAATAAATCAGACTTGGAACGTACAAGAAAAATTCAAACAAATGGTTAGAAAATATTTTAATGATTTATTAATATAAAAATATTATAAAACGATTTTGCTTTTAAACAGTTGGACGAAATTTGGCATACAGTTGGAACTGTAAATTTATTGAAACTTCAAGTGGTATCGATCATAATGTGGACAAGCTGCTAGTAGGAATTTTGGCTCAAATTAAGCTAAATCCACTCAGAGAAAGGATGTATAACAGTAAAAGGAAAAAATATAGTGTCACAAAACTATATAAGGACTTTTTAGCTTACTTAAGAGGAGTCAAGTCCAGTGAAAACTTATTCAGTATTTAATTATTTTACTAACAACATATTTTAATATTTTTTGTGGACCAATTTCTTTATTTGTTACCCAATTTATTTATATTTTTTTTTTTATATTTATTTACCCCCTCAAGTACAAACTTTACACATTTTATAAAAATAAGATATTACTAAAAAAAAGTACATATCTAATTTTAGATAAAATAATAATTATTAAAATATATGCCACTTTGTTTTTATATTAAAAACCTCTCATCAATTAAGGTTTTCTTGGCTAAATTCCTTTTGCCAAATGTTGTTCTGATGACGCTCATTACCTACATGAACACATTATTTGATTAAATTTCAATATTTGTAAAAGACAAATTGTATTCTTGATTTGTATGATAAAAATACAAATTCAAAAAAAAATTACATTTATAAAAGTAGTAAAATAAAATGCATACATGTACATTGTACACGAATAATATAACCATTATAATTTACAACTTTATGTGATGTAATAATTTTTTAAACATTATTCCTATAGTTACAAACCTTGTTTAAAAATCCTGTGATTATTGCAGCGAACACGATATTTTCAGTAAGTACATAAAAAAAAGACAACATCATCAAGTCAAATATTACTAAAGTACACTCGTTTCCATAAAAAATCACTTGATCAAACGAATGGCCATCATCTATAAAATAACTATATAATTTAAAATATAAATATTACAAAAACAATTTTAAAGTTGCTATTCACCAATGAAAAATACTCCTTTGTCCAATGGATCTGAGTATTCAATCCCTAATAACTTCTCGACGAAAGTTTTTTCGCGAATTTCATAATCTAAATCTTTCAAAGCCTGAAACAAATTACATTAAATCAAATTGATTTGATTTTTATAGTAAAATTGTTTATATACATGATCCAAGAACGCTGCTAAGAATTTATTCATATTATTGTACGCCTGTCCTATTTTTACCATATCCATTTTGTCTACTTTCTTAATCCTAAACGACGAACCCGAGATCTGTTTAGATTGAATCTAAAAAAATAAATGGTTTAATAATAAAATAAAAAATCAAACACATGCCATCTGTATAGTAAAAAATAGAATATTGTAGTCGCTTTACACTATTCAACGGTGCCATAACTCGCCGGTAGTATGTTTTCAACGATGAAGGAACAGTCATTTCAAACGTCTGATTATCCGTACCAGGCATCAAACCTCTGTGTCTTACCATATTGTCTTCTTCTCTTCTCAATTGACCAATCAAACTCTCCATGTCAGTATCAGAAAATCCGTGGGCCGATCTATAGACAAATCATGATAGAACCACTTGACACTTACCAGTAATCCGTAATATTCATCTGAACTAATAATAGAAAATAATACAAATTGTTTACCTTCCATGTATATAATAACCAAAAAATTCCGCAGATAAAATGAAAACGCTAATATTGGCCAACGAGCAAATATCAACAAACTGCTGAATACAATTTTTTATGTACCTCTCGTAAATTGCTACTGTCGTTATCCACTGTATGTAGGAAAAATATATTTTTAATCAAAACAAATTAAACAAAAGTATTTTTAATTCAATATAATAATTTTAGACCATTTATTTTTCTAAACTGCATTATTTCAGAACATGTACATTTTTTTCTTATAGGATATCACATTGTATTATTTAAATATTGGTTATCTTAAATAAAAAATATTTAATTCAAAACATAATGTTTAAAATTTAAACAATGTACGATATTATAATATTATGATTGGCTTATAAAATTATAACATTGACAATGTTCAATGATTTTGAATATTATCCTTATTTTGTGTTCAACAATAAACCTAATGGTTAAACCTAATACCTTTATAATAAATCTCATACCTAATTTGACAAATTTAACATGTTTATAGGAATATTACTTGATCGATATATTTCAGACTGATCTGTCTTTTTAAACTACTTAAATTATTTTCTAATTAATTTATCAAACTACATTTTATACATTGAACAGTTATACAAAAATTACATCTTCATTTAAAACAATATTGAATGAAGTATAATGTATTAATTAAAACTGATAATTTTTTTCAACTTTTTAAATTTTCTTGTATTTTGTTCTAAATATTTTATTTATTTTTTTTTTTTTTTATCAAAAAGTAATATAGAATTTAATAGACTTAAAATAAGTTTTACACAATTATCTCTTAATTTTAGTAAAATAATTTAAAATAGAATAAAATTAAATTGAAAATTAAAATTAGTCTTTTAAATTCAAATAAAAGTATTTTAAACCAGAAATAGGAAATATTTTTTTAGCCAAGATCTGCAAAAATAAATTTTAAGAGCAAACCATAAATTTCTTAGACAATTTCCTTAATGAGTAATAATAACGAATAAGGTAATATGAGGACTTAACGTAATCTTAATATGAAGAATTTAATGTAAACAATTTTTTCTAATACCTACTTTAATTATGAGTAATAACTAAAACTTCAGTAAAAATTACATTCAAACGAGAGGTCGATAAAACTGATAACCATTTCAAAATCTATGTCTTCATGTCAAAACCTTGATTGGTAAAATAAAATTTGAAATAGGTCGGAAAATCTCACATTAATAAGATACGCAATTTTTGAGAATTATTAAATTTAATTAAATACAAATACTTTATTTCACGCTTGCCTTCATTTTTTAACTTAAACAAGAAAACAATAAATTATTCAATTTGTACAACCATGTGTTAAAGTATTATGACGAAGATGTTTACAAGAATCTCGAATTAATGTTTGTTATGCTTTATGGCAATAAAAATTAACTTAATTGTAAACAATAAATTATAAAACTAAATAAAATACATAACCACGAGATTTTTCATACCTGAACTATGTACACAATACTGAACACAATAACAAGCATACCAAATCCCAAAAGCTGACTAATCGGTCTGTATGGAACTTTGGTTAAATGTACCTCGGGCTCAGCTACAGCCCAATTTTCTAAACCATAAATCTAAAAGAATAATTTAATACAAAAAAATATTTGTTATCATAATAAAGAAATTATTAAATTTAAATAATATTGTTTTAAATTATTTACTTAGTATAAACTACAATATTTTTTTTTAGTATTAGTGTCAACTAATATGTATCAGTTATCAACGTTCGCATAACTGATGATTTGAAAAACTCTATTTGTAAGCAAATAACTTATTGGAATTACCAGCATTTACTTTATTATATTTAAGGTATGTTATTCAAAAATCCTACATAGTTAAATAAACTTCATTAATATCTACGTACTTTTAAGAGGAGTATAGTTAACAAAAGTTGTAAGGGCAAACTAATTTTTCTTTTCGTCTGTATTTCAGCCCACTCGTTTGCTACAAAATAGCTTCTCCATATGCTTACAGTTTGCTTTTGTGTAGTCATTAAACCATTTTGTTTCTGATTTGATAAAATTCTTGGTTTTTCCCAATCTACTAAAAATATATTAATGTTTGTTTGTTTCCATATTAATCGTACTATTTCAACAATCTGCAAAATATATAACCATTAATGACATATATTTATAAGTTTCTGATATATGCAAATATTACTCAATATTTTATAAGGATGTATGGTAACAAAAATCTCATACCTGCCTATGTATGTATTTACATATTAAGATATTTTATTGAAGCGAAGAACTTTGAAAATAAAATATGAATTTTGTTGAGATTTATTTTTATATAATACATTTAAACGAATACATAAATAACAAAAAGTATATACTTATATAAATGACTTCTCAAAACATTTTTTTTTATAATAAAAGTTAAATGACAAAAAGCTTAATAACATTCAACAAGATTTCAAAATTTTCTCAGATGAATAAAAAACACGTATGAGTTATTACTTATTAGTCATATAAATATTTAGTTTGTTTAAATTTAAATTATACATTCACGCCAAAACATTTATTTTTTTTTAATCACTTTTAAATATACTAAACTCGTTAAAGTATCAAAATTAATCTCTTACAATAAAAAGGTATAAATAACTGGTCACAATTAAATATCCAGCAAACAATTATTCAAATTATTCGATAAAATTTGTAGCTATTATAAAAAATATCTGTTATATAATGTAAATAATGACCAAGATACCAAGACTAACTTAACTAAAAATAAAGGAGTACAACAAGTAAGTAACCGCTTTACTGTACAACAGAGGTTCAGAGTACCTCATTATTGAACCAGTCATTGTAATGTACCTATGTGTTAAATTTGAATTATTTACAATTGACACCCCCCAAAGTACCAACTAAATTATTTTTGCTATCAGAATAAATATAATGTTGAAAATCGCAGCATCTTTTTTCCTTAAATAGGTGATAACAGGCGTAACAAAAAAATACATAAATTATTGTAAAATCAATACATTTATCGCTCTATTTAGAATCTAAAATAGCATCTGTTGTTCTGTTTTTATTATTTTGAATCACTAATTTATCTCTATGCTGGTTTAGAACTTCAATACTATCATTAATATAAATTCATCGATGTACATACTTTTAAGATGAATGCAATAATTATGTAACGATTAACAACAGCTTCCAAATCTTGAGACGGTAAAAGTATATAAACAACACTTTGAGCTTTATAAAATAACAACGTATGAATAGCCAATAGTAGACAAACTACAAATATCATATTTGCGAAATGCGAACAACAAGTAATTGTAAATTGGCCAACTGTCCACATGTCAATTGCCATTCTTCCACATCGTTTTGATTCACTCCACGTGTGTATACAGCTCCAGATAAATACACAACCACTGAGAATACCCAAACACATCTGAAGAATAAGCAATAAAATAATAAGCTATCCGAAAAACTCAGACAAAATAATACACAACACACGACAGTCTTACGTCAACATAATGCAGTATATCGTTTTCCATATAAAATTCGACTGTGAACGTTACCGGATATAACTCATTCGATGATATATTCTCATCAGTTATTTGGCCATATTCTAAAACCATAAACGGTGGATAGATATTTCCTTCGTTCTCGATTTCTCGTTGAGCTTGCACTCTGCAATT